GCTCTAAAAGCTTTGACTTTGACTATCACCAACTCTAAAAGTTGCACCTTTGACTATATCATCAGCTCTAAAAGCTTTGACTTTGACTATCACCAACTCTAAAAGTTGCACCTTTGTTTATATCATCAGCTCTAAAAGCTTTGACTTTGACTATCACCACCCTAAAAGCTTTGACTTTGACTATCACCAACTCTAAAAGTTGCGCCTTTGACTATATCATGAGATCTAAAAGCTTTGACTTTGACTATCACCGCTCTGAAAGCTTTGACTTTGACTATCACCAACTCTAAAAGTTGCGACTTTGATTATCATCAGCTCTAAAAGCTTTGACTTTGACTATAATAGTTTGACTTTGACTATCGCGTCGACTCTTCAAGTCAACGGTTGATTCAGATTTTAACTCGCTCCAGTACATGAGACTTGATAAGTGGATAACTGTTCAAAACACAACACATAAGTATACGTTTTTTTTGCTACTTTTTGAACAGGCAGATTACCATAAAAAATAGATAACTTTTTAATCGCTTGTAATTTTTGTGAAAATTCACCGGCCTTGTTTGTTTTTTTTAGAGCCTTCGAAATATATATTTTTTTGTTTTTGAGTAAGTTTTTTTGTTTGCCAAACATTTTCCAAGATTCGTCGACAAGTTTTAAATTTCGATACGCACATTTTATTGAACACTATTTGAACGGGAGACTGAAGGCTGCAGTCAGTGAAGAGTGCATGTTCCTTTAATCTTGAAATATTTATCACATCCCCAGTTTTATAAAATTGTAATAATATATTGTATATAACTCGTTGTCTCTTCACCCGAATACAAGGTATGGTCGTTATTGCTGTATCTAGACTCAAAGTTACCCCAGATACAGCTATAATGACCGTACTACCGTGTATTCGGGCAAATACGGTAGGTTTTCGACTACCTCTTTCAAATTTATTAGCTCATGAAAAGTCATTAGTACATAATCAGGAAGATGTACCCAAAATAATAGCAGGAACTCCTTTTTTGAGAACCCATTTACCGGATGCATTTTTTCCTCTTCCATCTGTAATAATTTAAATTTATTTAATGAAGTAATCCAAATTGTCAAAGTGCGGAGTGTTTTATGTAAACGGACCCATTGCTCTAGTGAACTTTGCTAAACAAATTTGGTTTTAAACTTTTAATGAATCTTGCAATCCCATTCGCAAATCCAATCTGGTGATTCCATCCACAAATCATCTGCTCATCCTAATCCACAAATCGAATCTATCCTAGGGCTACCAG